ACCGAATGGTTGAATTGCCTGCAAACACAACGCAACGAAGTGCAGCCAACATCGCAAAGTTCGACGGAAGCCAGTAAGTAGCAGCAGCGTGTATTGTATATAACATACATATACATATACTCCTTCATGTGGCTGTGTGGGTGTAATGATAAATTAAAAATTTGATTTTTCTTTTTGTTTTTGCAGACGTATCCGTAACGTCGAAACCTTTGAAGCTAACTGGTTCAAATCCGCTGGAGCAATATCTTAAAGATTGACAGCGTTGCCACAACAGTGCGAGCATTTCGTGAATTATTAATTTTAATTGTAATTTTTGCTTAAATTTTTAATTTTATTTTTACATTTTTATTTTCGTTTTTATTTTTTTTCATCATGAGCTGGTGTTTTGCTTTATTGGAAATTTGCATTTTACGTGATAGTGATGAGATACTATTTAAAAATACACATATTTATGTATGTATGTATTTATGTTTTTAACTGAAATTAAAGTCGAAACAAAAAATTATTAATATATGTAACTAATGTTAGTTGTGAGCTTAAATTGTAATGTAATAAGCAATCAAAAAATTGTTTTAAGTCAACATATACCGAGCAGGCAGTTTGTTGTATGTATGTATTCTACACTAAACATTTGTACATATTTATATATATACATATATATATTTATCGCTTAGAGTAAGTTCTGAACTACTTTGTATGCTTAAACCGTTAGTTTTTAAATTAAATGCATATGCACATATATATTGCGTCTTAGTATACTAATGCCTTATACATATGTACTAATTACATACTATATATGTAACATAAAACAGCTAATTTATTTTAAGATATTATTAGTCTCAAAAGTTTATATGTAATGTGGAATAAATATAATATTGTGCACAGCAGACTTTTTGTTGGTGTTTGTTTTTGGTTTTCAAAAAATTTAATTGAATTTTAAAAAACATAGAAAAAAGGTAAAATTAAAAAAAAAAATAAAAACTAATTATTAAATTAAAAAAAAAATAAAAACTAATTATTAAATTTAAAAAAAAAATAAAAACTAATTATTAAATTAAAAAAAAAAAAACTAATTATTAAATTAAAAAAGTAAGTTTAAAAATTAATTAAATATATAATTAATAATTAAAAATTAAAAAAAAAAAATTAAATCAAAAATATTAAAATTAATTAAAACAAGTAAGGAAGGGCTAAGTTCGGATGTAACCGAACATTTTATACTCTCGCAAAGTCAAATGGTATACTCGTTTGAGATTTCTTTGTGGATTGGCTGATATTTTCGGTAGAAGGTCAACTATAGGCACTGGGGTCCACATATTTAGTACTTAGGGGTTTGAACAGTTTTGGTTCGATTTAGACATTTTTGGTCACAAGGTGGCATACTTTAAACGTATTATTCACGCAAAGTTTTACCCCGATATAATCATTGTTGCTTGATATGCATAGTGGAAAGTGAAAGAATCAGATGGAATTGAAAATGGTGTTATATGGGAAGTAAGCGTGATTGTAGTCCGATTTCGCCCATTTTCGCACTATGACATAGAAACATAAAAAGAACGTTACGCACCGAATTTGGTTGAAATCGGTTAAGCAGATCTCAAGATATGGGTTTTCACCTAAAAGTGGGCTGTGCCACGCCCACTGTCTAATTTTGAACGCGGTTCCTATAAAGTCATCTTATACCATCTCAGAGATAAAATTTAATGTCTCTGGCGTGTTTAGTGCTTGATTTATCGCGCTTTTAGTAGTTTTTAACAGTACCGTTATATGGGGAGTGGGCGGAGTTGCCACCCGATTTCAACTATTTTCACACCGTCAATAGAAGTGCTAAAAGCATTTGCTTCTAGTGAATTTTGTTATTATAGCATTAGCGGTTTAGGAGATATGCACATTAAACCTATTAGAGGCGGGACCACGCCCACTTTTAAAAAAAAAATTTTAACTGCAGATGCCCCTCCCTAATGTGATCTTGTGTACCAAATAACAGTCTTGTATCTTATTGCGGAGCTTAGTTATGGCAAGTTATTTGTTTTTGATTAATGTCGTTTTGTGGGCGTGGCAGTGGTCCGATTACGCCCATCTGCAATACCAACCGTCTCACGGTACCATGAAACATGTCTACCAAGTTTCATAAAGATATCTCAATTTTTACTCAAGTTAGAGCTTGCACGGACGGACGGACAGACGGACGGACGGACAGACGGACGGACGGACAGACAGTCACCCGGATTTCAACTCGTCTCTTCATCCTGATCATTTATATATATATAACCCTATATCTAACTCGATTAGTTTTAGGTGATACAAACAACCGTTAGGTGAACAAAACTATTATACTCTGTAGCAACAGGTTGCGAGAGTATAAAAAAACATATTACGCAGCACAAGAGATGCTATGATTTACGCGTCCTAATAATAGTAAATATAAGTACCAACTAAAACTAAATCAATTTATTTACATTGGAACAGCAAATATGTTAAATATTAAGTTGTTCATTATTATTTAGAACTTACCGTATAAAGTTTTTAATTGAAAAACACAGCAAAATCAAATTTACACAAAGCTAACGAGTTCGTATTCTTTAAACTGTTAATTCGTTGTAATTAGTGATGTGAGCTAATGCAAATCGATAAATATGTGAAGTTGACCAGTAACAACGAATGCATCCTTGTAAATAATAGAAAATGCATTGCATATTTTAGTATTTGAACCTCGATATTGCTGAAAAAAGCGAATATGTAAAATTTTTGATTCCATATAGATATGTATATTTATAAAAAATTTTAGTTACATATTTTGACAAATAATTTGGTACATACTTAGCATTTTAAAATTAACATATGTTTTAAATATGCAACTGTTTAGTCAAGTTAAAAATATTTTAATTTGTTTTTGCAAATGCAACTCTGAATAAGTAGACACGGCATATTAGTCGTTAATTGAATTAATCTTCTGGTTTCATTTACAATATTTTCACTTTTTCTTTTTAGAAATATGTATATACATAGCTTATCAAAATATGGCAATAAGCTAAAAACTAACAGTAAAAGTGTTATTGTAATTAAAAAAGTAATTAATTAACTTACTTAGCAAGCATTAAGTAGGGAATTATGTGTAGACTGAGCAAAATATGTATGAATAAAAGTTTTTGCTTTAGGTCAGGAAGGGACGTAGGAAGTGAAACTACATACCGCTCATTTATGGGGTTACATGAGTTTCGTCGGGTAAAAAAGGCCTATTTTCAATAATATTTTGTCAAAAAAAAAAATTTTTTTATTTAATTCAAACTTTTTTGTCTTAAAGATACACATTTAAAAAATAATTTCTGAGATTTTCAAAAAAAAAAAAATTTTAACTTCGCCATGGTAACGTCATTTCCAGTTACCCCTCGAAAAAAGGTGCGTCGGCGTTGTCAGTATAGCCTCTGACAGGATCATTTAAAATGAAAAAAAATATATGTGTTTAGTCAAGACCATAAACTCGTTCTTGAATGAAGGAAAAAAAGTTAAAATTGGAATTTTGGCAGACCTTTTTCCAACAAAATGAAAATTTCGGTCAAATTTGCTCGACATATCTTTTTTTAAAACAGTTGAAATTGAAAAAAAAAATCTTTCGTCCAAGCACGAGTAAATTGTATCTCAAACACCTGTATAAATATCATCAAGATCGGTTGAGTAGTTTTCGAGAACTTTTGACAACCGACTTTGAAAACACAGTTCCGAGAAAAACGTGTTTCAAGTTTTGAGTAACAATAAAAGTGTAAAAAAAATGTTTTTTGTAACTTACAGTGAATCGTCGATTCCTGGGTCATAAAGTAAAAATCCTGCAACATCAATAATTTCAAAAATCGGTGAGACTTCCATGTTTCCTGATGATCCAGTGTGATTGGCGGTGCATTGATTTGTTTCAATGTGTTCTTCTTTCCATTCTTCATATTCTGCAGTGTCTATTGTTTTTCTTCCTGAGCATACATCATACACTCATGTATTTTATCAATATAAAAATCGTATATAGACTGGTTTAAAAATGAACTGCTTATGTTCATTAAGCCGCAGAATTTCTTGCATCCGGCGAGCCCTAAGCCCAATATTCTCATAACAAAAATGAACCGGCGATTTAGTTCATACATTCTTCCGATTTTTTTACAAGAGAAAATATATTTCGGATCCCATCGTTCACATTCTACTCTCACGAAGAACTCAACGAAGAGAGAGTTAAGAAAACCAAGGCAAAATCTATGATTGAATATTTGAGCGTGTCCTTTTCTGGCATTTGCTCTTTATCATTACCTTTTAATTTTTTTGCTGAGGTGCTCGTTAAGGAACTATCATCAGTTTCCGGATCTTTAGGATTAAAGGACTGTTTCTTTTTTCTCGGTCTATCTTTTCTACGAGCTTCGACACTATCTGTTTTCTTGAAATGTTAAGCATTATTTATCAACTTCACAACTGACACTAGATAACCAAAAAAATATCACGTTTTTAATAATTTTTATGATAAAAACTTGCGATCACCTCAAATAAACCTCGTCCTTCAAGGAGTAATCACCAAATAAAATATTTCAAACTAGTTGTCCTTAGGAAGTGAAAGTAATACACAACAATGACAGACCAACAATAGACGAGCAGCTGCTCCCTATACCTGAGGCGCGCTGACCCTTCTATACCTAACTTAGAGCGCACTCCTTCAAAAGGCGGATCGACTTGAAAATTTAGGATAATATTCTTGAGATGTTGTAGAAATTAATAAGCCAAATCGATTTTTTTAACCCACGAAACCCATGTAACCCCTTATATGAATAGTGTCATAACTAAAAAAGGTCCATTTTTCAGGAGAGCGGTTTGAAGTTTTCAGTTGTCTCTTATTAAGAAAATACTAAAGCTTTTTCTTGGGCATAAACGTTTTGCACTTAAAATTATGACGTTATTTGTGAAAAACATAAAGAAATTTCGCTGTCATAAGTTACATGCTTCGTTATTGCAAAGAAAAGGGTAAATCGTTGTGTTAGAACGTTTTATTTTTATGTTGTTTTAACTAAAAATATAATTTAATTAAATTGATAGAACCGCGGAATAAGGTTATTTTGAACTAGTTCATTAATATCTTCCTTTTTATTAATAGGAATCCCAATTTTAGAGTTTTGGTTTTGGGTATATTTTCAATAAACTCCATAATTCCAGATGCTATGTTCTTATCGATATTTTTATGTTTACTGTGTTTGCCTCTTTGCTCAGGTTCCAATACTTGGTTAGCAAGTTTTTCCCGTTTTGCCGGTGCGTATTGGCAGATCATTGATATCAAGAGCGTTTTTAAAAAACAATTTTGCAAAAAATAAGCTTTATTCTTTTGACGAGGAGTTCTATTTCCGCCCACGCGCACGTAGTGGTATCTAGGCTCCACGATTTGCATACAATTAGAAATAAATTGCCTTTGTTTTTCAGTATCACGAAGTGCCCAGTATGAGTAAAATATTTCTTTTCTATTATCCTCGTTAAAATGTTTTGAATTGAATTTTGAATTATGTTGAATTCATATCGGCATCGGTTACAAGGAGGTTTTATTTCTCTTTTATCTCGAATGAATTTTTTCAAATTGACATTTTGTCCTCCACTGTTTCTCTTTTTCTTCGCTGGTCTAACCATAATTCGGTGAATCGGGGGCGTGTGTCATGTCATGGCACCGTCACAGTCTTCCGATAATGATGATAACCGTGGTAACACAGATGTGGAATTATTTTTGACATTTCACATTTTCAAATAACCTAAAAAATTCTAATTTCATGCTTACATTATCAACAACAGTGTATCATTTTGAGTTATTACGGCTTGTTCTGCATTATCGTCGATACATTTTTCTTAAATAGTGACACATTGACCTTTAATACGAAGTTCTTACTTTTACACAGTTCTTTTTATCAAATACAACGTCATTAAACCAAATACTTCATTCGATGTTTATAATTTTATCAACAAAACTGTCTCAAAACAAAATACTTGTAATACGGCTTACAAGAAATTTAGCGAAATGACAGAAATAAATCTTGCTCGATTCCCTTTATATAGAGCTAATGGTCGTGAAAAATCGAATTTCATTTATATTGACAAACGAAAGACTTCATTTAATGTTACAAACGAAATTCGATAGCCTTTAAGGAAAACATTTTTGAGAAGGAAAATTGTCATTTTAAATAAATATAGTGATTGACTGCGAAAAATGATTGACAATGGAAAACAAACATTTTGCTTTATTTTTGTTATTAATATTCATATTTTGCATTTTGTTATTGGCAAACAATGAATTGTTAATCAAAATCGAAAGGATACTCGTTTACTCGCTTGAATGATTAGTTGCTTATTTAAGCGTTTGAATAAATTTGGCATTTTCTGCATGAAGGTTGAAGTGTTTGTTGCGCCAAAATGACGGCATATAGCGAGGAATGTGACCCTGAAATTGACTGCTGCCCGATTTCGGCTCTTACAGGCACGCGCATACATATGTATATATATAAATAAAGATTTGCACATACATATGTATGTATGTAGTTATGCAGGTATGAATATATATATGTATGTACATATGTATGTATGTGGCAATTGGTGCTTTGTTCACTTTGATTGCTGTCATGCACGACAACTATGCATGCCTATCACAATTGCCAAATTCCAGCTGTCATAGATGCCACCAAATGCTCCCGGTACTACGTTTCCAAATATACATCCCTGTGTATATTTATATATAAGTATTGTATATTCTATTCGAGTTTGACATTTGACTTACTAAAATGTGCGCAATTATAGTTTAGTAGTGCTGTATTTACGTATTGACTATGGATTTGTGGGAGTTAAAATGTTTTTTGTTTTTATTCTCGTTTTGCTCAACTTCTTTTTAGCTAGCCTAGTATCCTTCAATCGTTTATTCGCCGCATTTATTATAGTGGAGCTATAATTAGTTAAACATTTTCGAGTTCGCAGCAGAAGTTTGAGGGCGCCAAAAGTGTGTCATAAGTTGACGAGGTAAGATTTCATAACTCTCTCTCACGTGCAAATGCAATGTGATGTCGCCAAATAATCCGCAGACACATGTGGAAAGTCCTTGTAACACTTTCACAGTTTATCATAAATGACATTTTCACAATTGAGTTGTATTAAAACTAACCTAGGGTCATGAACGCCATGCTAATAAGCATATGTGTATATCGCATATATAGTCGGTATTCATGCGTTAAGTTTAAAAATCTTACCGGAAGCCAGTTGTAGAAGCTGCTTGGAAGAAAGCGAGGTAAAACCATTTCAAAACTTCTTTCTTTAATTTTCAGCCTTTGCGAGATCAAGGTTAAAACAGCTCGGATCACATTTCTTTAGACATCCGGGTAAACTAGCGGAAAAATAGAAGACGTAAGAAGATTTGTAAGGGGTTTGAGGTGCTTTGTCGATGCATGCATGTCAAGTATCAAATTTTTCTAGTGCCACAAATAGCTGTAACGTAATCTAACCTAACCTATTACAGGCTGAACTGCCTGTGAAATGTGCTTTGAATTTTCAAGCATATGAAAATTCCAACCTATGTGCAATCCAATTTTTATAATATTTATCAGACTGATTCCAGCAAATCACTTGTACATGTGTACTACTGTTGTTTTTGTTGTTGTAATGACATAAAATATGCCAGAATTATATTTGTAGACTGAGATAAAAATCTCTAAATTCGAATGTATTCAGGTTAAGCCCGATAAATGCAAGAACTCCGCCTCGTCATACAGCTTTATTAAATTTGACTGTTACTTTAAGTCAGATAATTGCTGATTAAGATATTATCTCGTCAGAAAAAAATTTTGTTTTAGATTTAATTCTTTAAAACGCTTTATATGGTATATATGTGAAAGATTATAAAAAGTTCCACAATTCAATTCATGAACTATTATTCTAGCATATTTGTTTATTGGGATTCTCAAACTTGGGAGAAGAGCAGCATATTTTAAAGAATTTTGAGTATGAAAATAGCTTCAAATGGCCTACGTGAACGGAATAAATTAATATTTTTAATTTTCGTATATATATTATAATATTAAACACAAGCCAGAGATCGCAAAAGATTTATATGAATCAAATAAATAAAATCCCTAGCCTGTCAAACTGTCATCTTTAATTCGCAAATGCGCCCGCATGCACTAAGGTTACTTATACGCCATGATGACACAATGTGATCTCTAGTTGACACACTCGATAGGCAATCAATTACAACAAAGACTGTCACCAATCTACTTTATAAACTATCTCAATATACTTGAGCCACATAGATTAGCAGAGCTTCGTACAAATTTCTAAACTTATCAAAAAAAACAACAATGCTGAAAGGATTCTCGTTGCCATTAGAAGAGAATGAAAAGTCCCACACATTGGGGCAAATACACAAAGCAGCGTGGTTGAGGAGAGAGTAATAATGCTCAAAGGGCTCATTGACTCCAAGTGCCATATAAACAAAGCGACCCCAGCATAGAGAAATAACAATATATACATACATACATACTTGCAAAATATAAAAACAAGACATTGTTTTTGTTGTGAAATGAAAAGAAAAGTTCGCCATTCATGTCTACCGCACAATGCATTCAATGAATGGTGAGCGTCGCGAGTACAAAGGATGGTATGAAGGCATAATGCGAGTAAACGTGATTGGCGTGAGTAAAAATATAAGTGTGTGTGTGTATACATGCATGTATGTATGTACGTATTGTACTATGTTGATATTTGCGCGGGCGTAATAAAAAGTTAGCATGACTTATAGCTAGCACGTTTGAGTAACACAGTTACAACAAAAACAACAACAACAATTTAACTACAACAACAACAAGAACAATGAAAATGAAAAAAACAACTACTATTTAACAACAAAAATAATGTAAAAAAAAAAAACAAAAATAATACAAACACTGAAAACAACAACAACAAAAGCGAGTTAGAACACACCGAAAAAGAACTTAGTATTGAAGGTGTCTCTGGCGGGAATGGAACAAGAAAAGAAAAATAAAACAGTGGTATACAATAAAAACAACAATAAACAAAACGAAAAACGTGCAAAAATCATTGGGAAAGTTGCCTGCAACATGAAAACAGCCAATGAACCGTGTCGCAGCCTGCGAGGGAGTGCAAGTGTTTTGGCTTTGGCCGCACTCTGCTCACTCTTCACACCGGTAGTTATGCCACCCAACTACTTACACCGGAGCTATTAACAATATCGTTGGCAACGTGGATAAATATGTGCCACTAAATGTGGCACATGGTATTTTTCGAGTACTCTTCGCTCCAACTTATGCCCCAATCGCTGTGCGGTGGATGCGCTCTTGAAACAGTCAACGCGCGACCACCGACTCTACTGAACCAGCTGGCATAATAGCCGGGATATCGGTATCAGCGAAATAAATGGCATTTGTATTGACTGCTTATTGCCAAACTTCGTTTCGGCTAAAATGAAAAAAAAAATTCAAGAAATAAAACTAATAATAAAAAAATGAAACTGAAAATCTAAGCAAGGCAAACCAAATCAATAAATACCAATTTTTATGGCATTGTATTTGCATTAATTATTGATGAAAATAGTAAAAATCGTGCTACAAAAGAGTGGAGCGGTTGTGCGCTTAAGGGTGTTTTTTTTTACCGTTGCTGTTGGCGAGTGTGCCGTGCGTGCGTGTAATTCAGTCAGTCTCGTTGTGAATAACATGAGCTAAGCTATATTAACAACCAAAACACGTTAAATACTTGAATTTGATTGAATCAAGCAGAAGCGCCTAAAAGCAGGCTATTACGGCGAAAATTAAAACGAGCGTGTGCCACACCAGCCAGTTTGTCGACAGTTGGTGCGCGTTTTTAAGACCCGCTTTAATGGCTTTGTCGCTTAGTACGCGTCAAGCGGTTTCGCAAATGCCATCCACCGCATGGCCACGGCAGACACAGCAGCACCAACGTTCACCTGCTGCCATGCAGCAGAGTCAACAGCGCGCGTCCATGCACTTGCGTCTGCAGAAGCAGCATTCATTTAGCGAAGCCAATCGGACGCAGCCAATTGGCGCCGGCGGTGGTGGTCATTTCTTGGCTGCGCGTAGAACCGGTAGTGGTTACCTGACACGTGGTCTCTCTGTGGATCGTTCGCTGGAGAGTATACGTCAGAAGACAGCTGCGGCGCATGAAGCGCAAAACAAACGCATTAGTATGCGAAAATCCGCTAAAAGTGGCGCTGTGGGATTGAAAGGCAATAAAAATGCAACTCTTGCCGAGGGGAAGTTCGGTTATACGCGTGCAGGTTCAACGTCGTCACTTTTAAAGTCTTTGGATCAAGAGTTGAAACAAGTTAACGGTCAGTTAGGGCAGCGGCAGCGTTACAGTGGCAATAGCGCGTGTGTTCCAGCAAATATTGAAGATCAGTCTGAGTAAGTTCCTTTTACGATTTTATTATAATTTTTTTTTCTGGATATAAACAACCTTCAAAAGGTCTTTTATGAAGATCGTTATCTTGATTTTGATCGGTCCATTTATGTGACAGCTATATGCTATAATGGTCCGATCTATAGAATATATTTGGAGATTATAGCGTTGCCTATTGCCCACCGATATTGTCCGACGTTTCCTTCTGGGTGTTACAAACTTGTTGAAAAATTTAATATACCCTATTCAGGTTATTATTTATATAATTTTTGAAACTAAAAGAAGTGATTTATAAAGACTCTTTGAACTATGAAAAAGGCGGAACGTCAAAAGACCGTAATAAAATCTGGATAATACTAGACGTTTGGAAGATTGGTTCTTTGTATAAGAAAATTATATGCGGTCCTCGGCATATATATATGAACTTTATATGGATATTTTGAGGGACTATTATGTTGGGTTCCTTGTAGTGCCTAAATCTGAGAAGCAGTGATATCTCTGACAATATTCCCCATATTTATGACGTTTTTACCGACCATTGTCAAACTCAAGGGTAACGTTTCGGTAAATGAACCGCTGCTAATAGCAGTCCGGTGTCATAACGATTGAGTAAAAGAACCCAAAACAGATAGCTTTTCGATGTGTACAAGAATTTGATTTTTCGTAGATCTCATAATAGTGGTGCTGGAGTAGAAACATATATTAGTAAATAATAGAATCCGAGAATATTGGAAAATAACATATTTACTGAAGAACAGCCAGATTTAGTTAAAACTAAGGTGGCAACTTCAATAATTCGAACTTTTTTGTTTGCTGGATATTACTTCATAATTCGATAAGTGGAGTGAAATGTCAAAACTCCAAACTTATAAAAAGGAACTTAGAGATTCGGTTTGTTCAACTGCTGGTTGTTTGTATCCCCTAAAAATAATAGAGTTAGACATAGGGTTATATATACATAAATGATCAGGATGACGAGACAAGTTGAAATCCGAATGGCTTTCTGTCTGTCTGTCCGTCAAACTGTCCGTTGCAAGCGATAACTTGAATAAAAATTTGAGTATCATAGTGGAACTTGGTACACGTGTTCAATGGCAAAAAAGTGCGATTAAGTTAGTAGATGGGCGTAATCGGCCCACTACCACGCCCACAAGCCATAACTAAGCACTTAATTGAGATAGGGGGATTGGCACAGGGGATTACAATAGCAAAAGGCGCATGCGGTATAAAAATTTTGAAAAATGGTCATGATCCCACCCTCTAATAGGTTTAATGTACATATCTCCTTAATCACCAAAGCAACAATAACTATATAAGAACCCCTACCGATTATGTGAAAATGGCTGATAACCCCGCCCACTTCGGGGTTAGGGTTTTAGTCAGTTTAAGCTGTTAGTTCTTCAGGCTAATTTGTATTAATTAAGCCATCGATGATTTCACAAATCAATATTAGGAATGGAAAAGATAAAATGGTACTCAGGCATAGCTTCAACTTAGCCAGATAACTATTTGTTATAAATTTGATTCGTTATAAACTCGGTCAAAACATTTCCACTTCACCATTCACCAGCCTTTCACGCATTTATGTAATTTAATCTAATTTTAATCGAATTACATCCAACTTTTGTAACTCAATTTATGGGTAAATGGGTCAAAAGACAGCAAACCTTATTATATTCGCGTATGTATATAATGTCTGTCTGTATACAGTATACATGAAAAGTACCGTTGGGTATACCATAATAGTTTTGAGCTCAATTTCATTTAATAGTTCATAACTGTAAATATCTAGTGTCTGAAATCACGATATCGTTCATTGAACCATATTTTTACTTTTATAGTTTCTAGTGAGCACTCTACAATTATTGCTTTATTTTTAGAACTCGGCACGAACACCCACACGCACACACACATTGGCTACGTAGAGAAAAGTGAATGTGGTGGTATGTAAACAATTTTTACATACTGACATTACAATAATAACAGTAAATGAATGCATTTGTGTGTGTGTATGTTTAAAACACTATTTCCATCAGCACTTACAAAAAACATAACCTCAAAGCGAAAAAATGAAATAAATATGAGAAATTGAAATGTTGCATGCGAATATTTGAATTTATTCACTTATATAAGACATATGGTATATATATATAAATGTATGTATGTATAAATACATTTTATGTCTAGAAAATTGACATGATAGTCGTTTTTGTAATTTACTTTTTACCGTTACCGGTTGCATAAATCAATCAATTGTGATGGCTTCAACAACATAACAATTATATGATTTTTAATATTCTTCGGCACACAAGAAGCATTCTTCATAAGCTCTTATAAAGCGTTTTCAGCAGGTAAACCTACATATATACATACATACATTCATGCATATGTATGCATGCAATTGATGTCATAGCGTTAAGGCGTTGCCCAATTGTCATGCAATAAATATTTTTGATATTTATAAAATCCTATTAAAAATCTTTGCAATGTTTGTTTTCGAGTGCTAGCTCAGGGTTGGACAATATCCGTTCAACTCTTAATATACATGTATACTTCTTATTATAGTACTTTCACTTGAAAATATTGTCAGTTAACTTACATGACATGAGCATGCTTGTGCATTTAAATTACCGTTACTTCATATGCATCACTTTCGCATTTATAGGGCAGAAAGTCTCAGCAGCGAGTCAAATACGCTGCTGCCACCATCCGAGCATCAGGTTAAAGCTGCAAATTCCTCGCCAACACTCAAGCGGCATAACAGTAAAGTAAATTTGAATATTGTGCTTTCACATGCTATTAATTACAAGCCAACAAACGGCAACGAATCCAATACCAGTGATATTGAAAGTGCTTCAGAAGTCACTGAGCACAAAGTAAGCAGATAATAATATAATAATTAAAATAAATTCTTAATATAGCTTACAAACACACGTATATACACTTATATACTATTTCATTAGCGCAAGACCACAACACAAGCGCGTACGCTGCGCACCGATTTGCCTGCACGTACTCTTGCGCCAGCAGTGAGCACTACGGCTGCTGCCACTACAACAACAACTGCCAATGAAACTGTCCAACAACGTCGCGCACAATTTCGTTCTAGTCGCAATGTCACACTAAATACAAGCACTAACTTGGCAGCAAGTGTGCCCACCGCAAATAACGCCACTGTAGTTATTAATCAGCAGGAGGACGTAGGCGCCGCGCCCTTGATTTCCAATACTAGTGGTGGCGCATTCAACGCCGCACCATCGCTAATCGTACAGCGTCGACCGCCTTTGGTGCGTGCTATGTCTGCGCCGGTGCGTTCTCGTTCGCTCGATGAGAATGCCAAAGGTGTGTTTGCGTTTCAAAAACGTAAATTGCGTCGTCGTAAGCCGATCACGCGTAACGCCAGCGTTTGTGAGAAAAATGATGATGATGTACTTTTTGATTTGAATGGTGTTAATGGCAAAAAACCGCCAATATCGCGTACACGTTCCACATTGGCGGTCGATGTGATTACACTTGTTTCGCTCGTCAGCTCTGAAGGTAGCGACTCGGAAAAAGAAGATAGCCCACCGGAAACTGGGCAGCGCAATATAGAACGTTCGCGTAGCACTGGTGCACCCACATTGCGAAAGACGGGTAAATCAGGTGAGTAAATCAGATTTGGGCGCAACTTAATCGATTTATGTTGCATTCGATTGTTTGCGATGTACTGAATTGAAGGTATAATAATAAACTCTTTATTTTTATAATAAATAAATATTTTAATAAAAATAAGAATACTAGATACATAAATTCAGGGTTGCGAATTTATAGATTCAAAATTTTTAAATAAAAAATTAGATTTTAGTTTTAATACAAGATGTTGGAATTAAAAATTAGATTTGCAATTTGTTGGGATTCAAATTTTAATTAATTATCTGTGAAAAATTGAGATTTTAATTTTTAATCCCAAGCCTCTTGAATTTTTGAATTAATTCGGACTCTGATTACAGTTGTGATAATTAATTTTGTTGAGAATTGATATTTTGTAAGAGAAATATTTACATTTTAAAAAAGTTTTAACTTGTTCCATGATATGCAAATAAAAATAATATTTAGGGTAATTAAAAAGAAAAAATATTATAATTAACTTTTAGTTATACTTGAACTTAATATTATTCGATTATTTAGAGGTTTTAGCAAATCATATAAAAAATTATCAGTACTTTTGAAGTACTAGTGGCCCTAAATATCAGATTATTTAATAAACCTCTAGTAAACTTATAAATAAAATACTCTCTCAATATTTCGATTATTACTTATCACCATCCCTAACGAAAACTCTATTTACTTATTGCCAGTTTCCTTCCAAGAGAACTATCCCCCAAACTTTCAACTTGCTACAAAGGAATATTCACATATGATACGTCGCGGCTCGATTGCACCATTAGCTGCACGCTTACGCTCTAACCGACCACCAACAGCACCGCCAGTATCAATTTTCATGAGTGAAGCAAATGGCAACAATGCAATGACAACAAATACCACAGAAAACTTGGAAATCAGCAATAGTGGTGACTCAAATGCCAACAATGTCTTGGATAGCACGCAAAACACCGCGAAAGGCGCAACCGAGCTTGTAAGTAATGACAAACAAAACGAAGAATATATCTGCCCGGAATACGTGCGCACGTTGAAGGAGCGCGAGTGTTGGAAATTATATCGTAAAATGTCTGTTAAAGGTGTTAGTGTCACTTATGAGACGGTGTTGCGTGGCATGCTGACACCGACTGAATTTCGACAAATACAAAAACAACGTGAAATTGAAGAAGCAAAAGCACGCGCTTTGGAAGAGGAGAAGGATGCAACACTTGAACAACAGACACCCACTTCAGCAGTAGATCGTTTAACGCAGAAATTGTTGAAAAAGTAGTTGAAATTTCAAAAATATATATATTCTTATCTGAATACTGCAACTAAAATATAGTTTAAAATGTAATCATATATACTATATGTAGTGAATTGTTGCACAGTTAGGATAAAGCTTTGTTATATTGTGCATTTTTTAATAAAATTCACATAAGTGCGCTTACTTAGAACATTTAATTTTGGATTATTTTTTATAAATAAGAAATCGGTAAGTAGTTAGCAAAGCAACAAACAGTATTCAGAGTAATATTGATAAAGATAGTCCATTAAACATATTAAATACACGCATTCAGTATAAACTATATTTACTAATTATTATGCAATGTTTTCGTACTTATCGCATTTTATTTACAATAAAAGTTTTTAAATTTGATATTTGTTTAAATTTGACCTAAGCCCATTTAAATTGACGCCCTTCCGATAAGATATCCTGTTTCCGGCTTCTCTGTTAGTGCTAATGCAACCATGACTGTTATCGATAAGCGATAACTTTTAGAATCAGCTGATTGTTGTTATTTGTTGCAAAAAATAAACGTCTACATAGTGTAGTGCATCAATCCGGTTTATCAATGATTTTATGAATAAAAACAAGCGATGAAACCGAAAAATAATAAATGAAATTTAATTAGATATTAATACGAAATCAAGTGATTGGGTACTGCAATAAAGCAATAAATACGTATGTATAGCTATTAAAAACTAAGAACTAATAAGCGACATCAATAACTAATTATGTACTTTCAACAACCAACAGCCTTCTATTTACTTAAAATGTGGATAATTAACGCGATTGTGGTGCATTTATTATTACTGGGCTCTATATTTGTTATATATTTCCGCTCACCAATTATCGCAGGTTTGCAACCGCAGGAGCCGATACAATTAGAAGCGCCTGCTAAACGACTAGTGCTCATTGTAACTGATGGACTGCGTGCAGAATCCTTTTTTCGTAATGGCTGTGAAGACATACCAAATTTAAGTAAATTAATGTTGACAACAAATGGATTGGTTGGCATTTCACATACGCGTGTACCAACCGAATCACGACCCGGTCATATAGCGCTCATCGCTGGTCTATATGAAGATCCATCGGCTGTAACACGCGGTTGGAAACGTAATCCTGTCGATTTTGACACTGTATTCAATCGCAGTGCACATACATACGCTTGGGGCGCTGCAGATGTGCTGCATATATTTTCACGTATGGGTGGCATAGAAAGTGAGCAAAGATTACTTATAGATGCATATGACCACGAACTGGATTTCTCTGGTCGTGATAAAACTTATGAATTAGATGACTGGGTGTTTAAACGTGTACGCCAACTACTCGCACGCAAGAGTGTGGAGCTACGTGAGCAGAAACAAATTATTTTATTTTTACATTTGTTGGGCTTAGATACGGCTGGGCATGTGCATAAGCCTGGAACGCAAAATTTTTTAGAAAATTTACATCGCACTGAACATGGTATAACGGAGTTGTATGAAGAGTTTGAGAGCGTGTTTCCAGACAGCCGCACTGCTTATGTGTTGACTTCCGATCATGGCATGACAAATGCAGGTGTGTAGAGTTTTTATCTAGTTTAAATATGTAATAAAAATTCTCCGTTATATTTTTTACAGGCTCGCATGGCTCCAGCGACGCATTTGAGACTGAAACACCTTTCTTCCTTTGGGGCGCCGGTATTGCTAACAATGTTAGCTATGAAAATATATTTAAAATTGGCAAAGACATCACGCGTCCACTTTATGCCTTGCAACAAGCACAAATAGCGCCAATTATATCAGCTTTAATAGGCATTGCGCCACCAATGAATAACATTGGTATACTACCGTTAAAATACTTAAATGCTACGCTCGAATATAAAGCGCACGCGGTGCGCAGCAATGCTCTACAGCTTTTAGCACAATTTCAAGCGCTTTTGACAACACATCAACGCGGACTCTTCTCACGGTTTCTTTCAAGTTATAATGAACTCAATGAAGCAGTTATTGCACAATATTTAGTGCAAACGGAAATGTATATGCAAAATGTTCAATATGATGATGCGATTAACGATAGTTATAACATAATGCAGCTTGCTTTAAAAGGCATCGAGTATTATCAGGGTTATTATCGTCGTCCATTGCAGCTTAGCACCACTGCTACCTTTATATGTTGGATAATCTATTGTCTGCAATTGTTGCTAGGACAGCGGCAAGCAGTGAAACATTTTCAAGGCCGCTTAACTGTAACATTTAAACAAAAGTTGTGCCTACTCACAGTTTGCGTGTTGTTGCTATTGCAGCGTGTGCCATTGGTTATAGCTTTTTATCTACTGTTACCGTTACTAATCTGGCTGTTGTTGGTGCAAAAGCAGGGCATCTCTTTACTGCCGCTCATGCGTGCAATGCCGCTAATACAATTGCTGGCGTTAGTTTTATGCGCCGAATTGTTTGTCTACAGTTTCTTTGAGCGCAAACTTATTTCACTAAGTTTTCTCATTTACTCATTATTTATTAATTTACGCGCATTTCCAGCTAAAAATGTCAAATTTTACATTTGGCTGGTATTAAGCTTAGCTTTAGCCACTTTCCCGTTGCTGCCGCCAACCCTTGGTTATACAAACACCTGGTTGCTGCTGCTTGGCATGTGCGTTACGTTGCTGCGGCCATTTGTCGTCAAATCTCATATACATTGGCATATAAAAGTGCCAGCTATGGTAAGCTTAATCAACGCTTTGCTTGTCAGTTACTGGCATGCGCAACAACGCGGTGTGCCATTCATATCGCACGCACTCTCCTGGTGTTTCCTGCTGTATATTTTTGCTTTAATTGTTTTTAGTCGTACAATCGTTTTGAAGCAACGCATTGAGCTTTTATTTTTCCTATTAACCTCTTTCTACAACTTACTGTGCACATCCTATGAATCGCTTTTTATTGTTATGCTCTCTTCAGAGTTGATGCTCACACTGGCTGTGCAGCCAATGCAACTGCCTTTATCACACAGGCTAAGTGACACTTACGCGCAAAGTAAGAAGGGTGCTATGGCACAACAGCCGCTGGCCGTTAACACGCCTCAGCAGTTGCAAGCGGCGCTCAAGTTGTCCTTCACCATATTACTCTACACACTCTTTTCCTTTTTCGGCACCGGCAACATAGCGTCTGTCAGCTCCTTCGATCCGAATATTGTACGCTGCTTTTTGAGCACTTTTGCGCCATTTATCATTATGGCATTGGTCATATTGAAATTAGTCATTCCTGTTGTGTTGAATATATTAATTATTTATGGCATGTCGTCATTTGCACGCGCCAATGAGCAGGCCATTTTCGTTTGTCTGTTGCTAATCTGTGATGTGATGGGCTTGAATTTTCTATTTTTGGTTAGAAATGAAGGCTCGTGGCTGGAAATCGGCACATCGATTTCACACTTTGTCATTATGGAGGTGACCACAGTGGTGCTGCTGATTTTCACATATTTTGCCAAATTGCTGCTGCGTTTAAAGGAAAAGGTGCAGAATGTGGAGTAGGCTTAGATTCAAGCTGCCAAGTAGTATTATTTGTATAAAAAATGTATATGTACATATGTATATATACTTTTTATAATTAAATTTGTTGTAGTTAAGTTTTTTAAAATTTGTTCAAACTAAATTTTAGTGAATTTTTGTAAATACAAATTTGTTATTTGTCAATTCTTTAATCTTTTTCGTTACATTAAATATTTATTAACTAACTATTTTTAATAAAAAACTTTACACATTCAATTTTCCATTCATAAACTGTTATTTTGTACAACGAATCGCATTAGGAAGGGGCATCTGTTATTTTCAATTTTTTAAAAAAGTGACCTTGACCCCGACTCCCAATATTTCCAAACCACTAAAATGACAACGACTATAATCGGATTATAACTCTTATAACTGCCCGAGGTCGTACAAAAGCGATTCATTGGAGCGGGTATTAATATTGGACAATTGGCGTGGCACCACCCAGCTTTAGCTGAATTCGTAGTATATGAAGGCTCAAATTGATCAAATTCCATCAAGTTTGGTGTACAAAATTCGTATGTCTTTGATCTTCACAAATAGTTAGAGTATAAAATGTTCGGTTATACTCGAACTTAACCCTTCCTTACTTTTTTATTTTATTTTTTTTTTTTTACTCATTTTATTTATTTTTTTTCACTCATTTTATTTCAATTAATTATTTTTTTATTTTATTTATTATTTTTTTTTACTCATTTTATTTTCAATTAATTTTTAATTCAACATTTTTTAAGTTTTTTATTTAAATATTTGTATAATTTCAATTTAATAAATTTTTGCTCTTTAATTTTAATTTATTTTACTAATTATGTTTTCAATTAAATTTGTATTCAATATTTTTAAAGTTTTTTTTTCACTCATTTATTTTCTAATTTTTTTTTAAATTTATGTTTATTTTATTTTTTATAATTTTTTTTTATTTTAATTTTTTATTTATTAACATTTTTTCTTAAAATTTTATTCTTTTTTTTAATTTAATTAAATTGTTTTTTCATTTTATTTTAAGTTAATAGGTTATTTAACTTTTAAAGTTTTTTATTTAATAATTTATTTTCTTAAAATTTTTTTTTTAATTTAAATATATATTTTTTTTCATTTTTTGTATTAATTTTTTCCAGTTAATAGGTTATTCAAAACTTTTAAAGTTTTTTATTTAGGCATTTTTATTTATTAACTTACTTTCTTAATTTTATTCTTTTTATACTCTCGCAACCTGTTGCTACAGAGTATAATAGTTTTGTTCACCTAACGGTTGTTTGTATCACCTAAAATTAATCGAGTTAGATATAGGGTTATATATATATAAATGATCAGGATGAAGAGACGAGTTGAAATCCGGGTGACTGTCTGTCCGTCCGTCCGTCTGTCCGTCCGTCCGTCTGTCCGTCCGTCCGTGCAAGCTCTAACTTGAGTAAAAATTGAGATATCTTTATGAAACTTGGTAGACATGTTTCATGGTACCGTGAGACGGTTGGTATTGCAGATGGGCGTAATCGGACCACTGCCACGCCCACAAAACGACATTAATCAAAAACAAATAACTTGCCATAACTAAGCTCCGCAATAAGATACAAGACTGTTATTTGGTACACAAGATCACATTAGGGAGGGGCATCTGCAGTTAAAATTTTTTTTTAAAAGTGGGCGTGGTCCCGCTCTAATAGGTTTAATGTGCATATCTCCTAAACCGCTAATGCTTAATAACAAAATTCACTAGAAGCAAATGCTTTTAGCACTTCTATTGACGGTGTGAAAATAGTTGAAATCGGGTGGCAACTCCGCCCACTCCCCATATAACGGTACTGTTAAAACTACTAAAAGCGCGATAAATCAAGCACTAAACACGCCAGAGACATTAAATTTTATCTCTGAGATGGTATAAGATGACTTTATAGGAACCGCGTTCAAAATTAGACAGTGGGCTGGCACAGCCACTTTTAGGTGAAAACCCATATCTTGAGATCTGCTTAACCGATTTCAACCAAATTCGGTGCGTAACGTTCTTTTATGTTTCTATGTCATAGTGCGAAAATGGGCGAAACGGACTACAATCACGCTTACTTCCCATATACACCATTTTCAATTCCATCTGATTCTTTCACTTTCCACTATGCATATCAAGCAACAATGATTATATCGGGGTAAAACTTTGCGTGAATAATACGTTTAAAGTATGCCACCTTGTGACCAAAATGTCTAAATCGAACCAAAACTGTTCAAACCCCTAAGTACTAAATATGTGGACCCAGTGCCTATAGTTGACCTTCTACCGAAAATATCAGCCAATCCACAAAGAACTCAAACGAGTATACCATTTGACTTTGCGAGAGTATAAATGTTCGGTTACATCCGAACTTAGCCCTTCTTACTTGTTTTAATTAATTTTAATATTTTGATTTAATTTTTTTTTTTATTTTTAATTATTAATTATATTTTAATTAATTTTTAAACTTACTTTTTAATTTAATAATTAGTTTTTTTTTTTTAATTTAATAATTAGTTTATTTTTTTTTAATTTAATATATTTATTTTTTTAATTAATAATTAGTTTTTATTTTTTTTTAATTTACTTTTTCTATGTTTTTTTAAATTCAATTAAATTTTTGAAACCAAAACAAACACCAACAAAAAGTGTGCTGCAAATTATATTTATTCCACATTACATATAAACTTTTGAGACTAATAATATCTTAAAATAAATTAGCTGTTTTATGTTACATATATAGTATGTAATTAGTACATATGTATAAGGCATTAGATATACTAAGACGCAATATATATGTGCATATGCATTTAATTTAAAAACTAACGGTTTAAGCATACAAAGTAGTTCAGAACTTACTCTAAGCGATAATATATATATGTATATATATAAATATGTACAAATGTTAGTGTAGAATACATACATACAACAAACTGCCTGCTCGGTATATGTTGACTTAAAACAATTTTTTGATTGCTTTTACATTACAATTTAAGCTCACAACTAACATTAGTTACATTATATTAATAATTTTTGTTTCGACTTTATTTCAGTTAAAAACATAAATACATACATACATAATATGTGTATTTTTAAATAGTATCTCATCACTATCACGTAAAATGCAAATTTCCAATAAAGCAAACACCAGCTCATGATGAAAAAATAAAAACGAAAATAAAAATGTAAAATAAATTAAAAATTTAAGCAAAAATTACAATTAAATTAATAATTCACGAAATGCTCGCACTGTTGTGGCAACGCTGTCAATCTTTAAGATATTGCTCCAGCGGATTTGAACCAGTTAGCTTCAAAGGTTTCGACGTTACGGATACGTCTGCAAAACAAAAGAAAAATCAAATTTTAATTTATCATTACACCCACACAGCCACATGAAGGAGTATATGTATATGTATGTTATATACAATACACGCTGCTGCTACTTACTGGCTTCCGTCGAACTTTGCGATGTTGGCTGCACTTCGTTGCGTTGTGTTTGCAGGCAATTCAACCATCGTAAGCGTTATTTTCTTATCACCATTCACATCCAGTAACGTGGCATCTTTTTGCCGCATTTACGTAGCGTTCTGGAATTTTGCGAAATTATGTTGAACATTTTATATATATGTAACTATATACATTTAGTATATGTATATGAAAATTCTATAATACTATTGTACTTACTTCGAGCTGGTCACCATCTCTCTGAATGTCTTCCATTCTTTACGCTCCCAAACTTTGTTCTTGTTTTTATCGAGCAAGACGAAGCTTAACGTCGCAATACGTTCGTCCTCCGTACCCCATTTAGTCGTATTACCGCTGTATGGAAGAAAACATATTTGAAATCAATTTAAATCTACATAAAGAATTTTATTATATTATAGTACAACGTAAGCTATAGGAAGGCAGCTTTCGGGGTGCTACAAACAAGTTGAAAATATTCAAAGTATGGAATTAATTTTCTAGCACCACATGAAAATTGGTTTATGTTGGCGTAGGGAATACTTTATTCCGATAAAAAAAAATTTACAAGGTCCCCGAGGTTATCAAAAAGATTTCCATCCCTAACTAGGGTTGTCAGAGATTATTATGATGTATATTTTACTAATATAATTATATTAAAGAAGCGATATATGACTATTACCATTCAAGTCGAAATATATATAGTTCAGATATTAAAAGAAGTTGGAGTCGTATAAAACATTCTCAAAAAAGAAAAGGGGTTTTATGGAATGCATAACATTAGAGATTTGTTTGCATTAAATTGTTTTGGATGGAAGAAAAATGGCCGAGTACCCGAATTTGTGCAGAATTTCTTCATTTCATTTACCAACTACGTTTCGAGTTCCAAATGAAAACTTTTAACGGCATTCTACTTATCTAATGCTCTCTTGGATACTCTACAATACATGATTTAATATTAATTTTGAAAGTCAAGGCCTCTAAATATATGCTTGGGTAAGGTTAGGTTCAATGGCTGATCCTTAAGATGGGAATCGAACTCGGACTACTATTGTATATACAGTCCTTTGTGAGGCAAGCAAACAGAATTCCACGGATTTAATAAATCGACAAAGCGCCTTGAGGCCAATTCAAATCTGCCTAGGTGTTTATTTCTTTTCCCATCAGTTCAGCGGAATGTCTGAGAGTCTGAGCTCCCAGGTGTTTAAGTCCTGGTCGCGCAAAGGTGGAACCATCAATAATAAAGTGTTGAGATGTGTCTCCTTCTTCTTCTTTCAACCTTACCACGTGGACACCCGCGGGTAATGACCAGTTAGAAGCCCTACAAATAGGGAAAGGCTAGGCTTACTGAAGTCGAAGAACAAACTAGATCTCTTGCGATTCACTTTATGCCCAGAGGAACTTAAATGTTTGTTTTGTAATAATTTTGTTCCAAAATGCTGGAATTGAAAACAACAATTCAATTAAAAAATTACCAACACTGGCTGGCAATCATACTAATAGGTTGACAAAGTGACTCGATACCGTAAAGTTATGCTTATAAACCCACATTTTACCAATTTTTCAAAATATTATATTTCAGTTGCACTTACCGGCACTAGCCGTCGCTACGATATGTGTCTTCAAAACTCTTTGAGATCATTCAGAAACACGGCTTTTCTCGGCTCCGGACAACCTTTCATGGGACGCGGCGCCGCATAGGTGACATCGCATTGTGGTCGATCCTTACCCTTGTGCCCGGTATATTCTTGCCGGTATCCTCGTTCACACACCAACAATACGGT